AATGGGACTGATATCAGGGTTGGGGTAAGACTGAGAAAAACTGGATAAATTATGTACACTGCATTGAAACAGATGAGGGAGAGAATAATTTAAAAGCAATATATGATACGGTATTACAGTTATCGCAAGAGTCCAGAATTAAGGGTGCATAATGGAGTATACCTGGGGCGGTGGGAGGAGTACGGGGGGATTGTATACCAAAGAAAGAATTTTTCTTTTACTTTTTCAAAGAGAGGAGCAAACTGGGAGTGGGGGAGGAGGGATGGGCAGGGAATAAGTGCAACAATGCATGAATGGAAATCCAAAATCTCTGTAAATGTTCATTAAAATTATTAAAATTTAAAAAAGATTACAGATTCAGCAGAAGTCTCTTTAAAGTTTGATCCTTGATCTTCTAGATATAATGAATTTTGTATTTCTCTTTTTCATGCATATTTTTATAGCATAGCTAGATTTATATTCTTAAACTAGATTTTAAAATAGTTAAATATCTATATAAACATTATCACATTGTTAACATTCTTTGTCTTTTCTTCCACTAAACTTTTTTTTTCAAGATATACCCACAATGATACTTTGAGTTAGTATAGATGATCAGTTCCTTCGTTCTAACTTCTATTACAAAGTAATTACACTAAGAGAACCAATTTAATCAACCACAATTACTGGTCTTATCTACCACTTAACATTTACATTGTTGCCAATTTTCTATAGTACACTATCTTTGCTTATGTCTCTGTATACATGTGAAAAATTTCACTAGGAGTTACTTTCTAGGATTAACACTGCTGAGTTCTGAAAAGTCTGTATCTTCAGTCTTTCCTTCTATCTTTTTCTGCAGTCGAGTCAGTTTCAACTCTAAGCAAACCTCCACTGAGCTTCCAATGCTGTAAACCACAGCAGTCAGTCTGCCCAGCTTTCTCTGAGGAGCCAGTGGTGGATTCAAACTGTTGAAGATGCCCTAAAACAGTTGCACCAACATATATCCTCAGCAGTGTACCAGAGCTTCCTTAATCTTTGTGTCTGCATTCAGTATTATTCAATTTCTTAATTTGTCAATCTGAGCGGTGTGAAATGGTCTCATGGTTTTTATAATGCCTTTCTTAATTACTTAAAAAAGATTATATATGTTTAATATGCTTACTGGCCACAGAGTTTATTCTTGTATATCTACCTTTTAATAAGCCTATACCTACTTCGCTTCCCTACTGAGTCTACGGTATATTGTAATTATTATATACTATTCTTTTTAAAAAATGTTTTTATTATTATTAATGTTAATGAAAATTTAGAGAGACTTTGGATTTCCATTCATTCATTGTTACACTTTTCT